TATATATATATAAAACAAAACATATTTATAATAAAACATATTAAAAATAACATATTTCAAAGATATTAATAACATATTAAAAATTTATTAATTACCAAAACTTTGAATTTTTTTTTTGTTGCAATGGACCGGTCATAACCGGAACCGGGACCGGAATGCTTAACCGGTTACCGGTAAGCTTGACCGATTATGAGGTATTTCAATTTATTATGTTTAGATGCAAGTCTACTTCTTGAATAAACAGGATCTTTTTTACATTTATTTACTAATATTTGGAGCATAACTTAAGTGGAGGAAATTTAACAATTATGTAGTTAATCATCAAGCACTGCAATCTGTTATCTGCTTCTTTCAAATCGTTGCTAGTTTCTTCTTTGGTCTGTGCAAGTATCATGAATGCCTCTTGTGATGGCGCAGGGATGATATTGGTGGCCATTGCTGTTTCCAGACCGAAAACAATGATGCTGACAGCTTTAAGAMTGTAATTAGCCATGGTAGCAGTGGAGTGAGTGGGGATTTTAGTTTCAAGCCTTCTAAATTTCAGACAGGGGTCCTAAGAACGAACTGTATAGATTGCTTGGATCGGACAAATGTTGCTCAATATGCATATGGTTGGGCTGCATTTGGTCGTCAAATGCATACTATATAGATTCCCCTGTTATTGAGCTGGATTCTGCATTAGCAGATGATTTGATGAGGATTTATGAAAAAATGGGTGACACTCTAGCACTACAATATGGTGGTTCTGCAGCACACAATAAGGTAATGCATTATGTTAAAACAATAACTGAAATTGAGAGGCTAACTGAGATACAGATGTTGATAGGCAACACTATCGTAGGTCGTGCATGTGATCTGCAAGAAAAACTTTAATTGATTTGTACTTATGGTTCTTTTTCAGTATAGAGAGATGATATACATTGATATAGGTATATGGTTAGACATGAGATTCCTAAGAAGCACTTGCTGTTCTCTTTAAACTGAATATTACATCACAATCTTCCTAACAATTTTGTCTTATTTAGTGCTGATCATGATTCATGCTAATATATCCCTAATGTGATGTCACTGTAATAATAAATGATGGGTCAGTCAATAGCATAAATATAGCATTGGATTAGTATTATTAGGTGAATTTCCATTAAACCCTGAACAATATGTTTTGAAGGATGTTATTTAATGTGTTTATGCATAGTTGTCGAAATTGCAAGATTCAACAGGTTGGATCTTTTAGTGAATTCAATTCCTGAGCAACGATATGAATCACAATCTTGTCTAAATTGCCATTGCATCTATGATTGACCCAGTTACTATGTGTTGTTTATGTGGATTTGTGTAGAGTTTATTGATATGAAACTTGTATTAATAGTCACATGAACCGAAGGATTTATGTGTGTTTGATGAAGTAGTAAAGAGCAACTAATGCATAATGCAGTCTTTTCGTGACCAATCCATGCATTTTTGGTTTAGGTATCACTGAATGCTTGTATTTGTATTTTGTGTTTATACATGTTAAATAAGCTTTCTGGAAAAGGTTGAAGTGAATATATGGTTCAGTTTACAATTGACTATGCATGATTATCGATTTGACAACTATGATTGATCACTTTTTATATCCCTTTTACATATTTAGCATTTTAACAAACTGATTTTTCATATTCTGTTAAAAACTTTTTGTACAGATATTTTGTCAGAGAAGAGGTCAATGGAAGGCAGCAACTCAGTCCCAGGAATTCTTTAGAGCTCTACAGCGTTACTACAGTAATGCATACATGGATGCCGAAAAGCAGGATGCCATTAATGTGTAAGTGGAAAAAGATCTTGCTCTGACACTTACTCCTATAGTCTTTTAGGAATATAAGATTACGTATGTAGCTRCAGTCTTCTGTTCTTTGCATCTTTATAGTTCCTGGATGGGACTCATCACTCATCTTAACGTCCTTTGTATTAGATTGGTTTCTTCATTGAAACTTAAAATAAATGTTACTTAATTCATAGAGATTTGTCGACTAGAGAGGGTTTGCTGAATTGCTACTTCCTCAATGTTTAGTCTACCAAGTATCCGTTATTGTGTTCTCTGTGATTCTAAACTGAGTCAGTCTTTGAGCAGGTTCCTGGGTCACTATCAGCCAGAAATCGGCAAACCTGCACTGTGGGAATTGGATTCAGATCAGCATTACGATGTTGGGAGCCGAGGCTCTAACTTTTTCATGGAAAAAGCCAGGTATGATGCTGTTGCAGCGTTTTGTTTGCTTATTCTCAAGAAGGTTCCTTACTTCCTTACAGATGATAGACATATAATTGAAGATATTATAAAAGAAAAAAAGCAAAATCTTCTTAGATGCTGCCAGTTGTCATATTTAGAGTCACTGTAACAAACGGAATCGATTTTCTTCCACAAAATATTTGACTAAACATATGTTATTGTACAAGTATCTGACGACAAGTCGAATGTCTCATTAGGCAACAGTAGCAAAATAGAAGCAACTTGTGGACCACATAATTGACATTAATAAATTGTAATAACGAAAATGAGCAAAACTTGCAAAATTCTTGATAACTGAAATGTTGCAATTTCATGGGACATCCTAAAATATAGATTATTGTGATTTTCATGGGAAGGAGGGAAGAGATATCATGGAAATTTCTCTCTGAAAAGTCCTTTTACTAAAATTTGCATTCATTTCACCCTGAAAAATGGAAAGATATTCAATGCTTTACTCCATCGCTTCCTGCCTTATTTGTTAGTCAACATGTTCGCGGGATTGAGTGTATCTTCTTAAACAAAATAGAATGTGTCTTTTGGTTTGAAAAATTCTCTTTTATTTTATGCAATGACAGTTCACATGCTTATTTTTCTGTGAATGCAGGCTTATTAAAAGATCATTGTCAGTCGGCAACATGCTCTTTGATGACAACAATCTCTGTGACGRAAGTTCTACTATTGGAATTGCTCAAAAGGATGAAGAATCGGAGCAGCAGCCATATCCTGACAAGGCACAAAGCAATACCAAAGCTCTATCAGAATCCTCACCTGAGATCTCTTGTGAAAGTGATTCATCTTATCCAAGGTTTGATCTGATAACTGCACAGTCTGTCACCTTTAGATTGATCATTGTATTCAGATCTTTTATTTCTTTACCACTGAGTTAAGTTTTAAATATAGTAGATTATAAAATTGTAAACTAGGAGCTCGAAATTGTTGCATCCATCAGCCTGGAAAGTTGAAATATTCTCTAAGGGTAAAAGCAGTTGGTTGAAATCTGATAACCTGCTGTCATGTTAACGTATGCTAGGAGGAGTAAGAGGTAGAGTATAGTTGGAAAGTGAGGGATTATCAGTTAGGATCTTTAGCTAATGGCTACAAAAGTTAGTTTCGTAAATCAACCTTGTATTATTATTTTTGTTTTATTCGATAATATTGTCATTTGTAGGAGTAAATTACTAAACTGTCCCAAAACAAAACGCTAAATCCCTCCACGCATTCTTATCGTCAACTCCCTCTCTCCCTTCAAATTCCCTCTCTTTATTATTATTTACCTCCCTCCCTCCTTCCCAATTTAAATCTTGAGATCTATCCACCCCTTTCCTTCGTGGCACTCCGCCATCGCCACCAAACCATCCTCCTCTGCTTCCAACCACCACTCCTAATGTCACCCTCTAAGGCCGTGTAATCTGCACCACCAACGAAAATATTATGGCAAGGAAGATCCAGATATGCGATGAGGAGGACGAGGCAGTGGTGAAATAGCAGCAGGTGGGAGGGCAATATGTGACAAGAAGGGTTTAGGTGAGAAAGAAACCTGCTGAAGAAAATGAAGTTAGGGGTTTTCTTTTACCGTGTGCTTTCTTTGCATGTTGATGCTTTTTGCTTGATGTCGAGGAAGTTTTATTCGACCTCAAAAGACACAATTTGCAAACAACTCCTCTCGTTGAATCACAAATGGACGGTGGCTGACAGAGATCAGATACTAGATAGTTGCATGTTTGAATATGTTAAAAGCCCAGAATTGCATGAAAAAGCAGGCTAATCTGGGAGGGGAGACAAGGTGTACGTGATTGGGAACTTGGTTTTCCTGAAGTTGCGACTGTGTCGACAGAAAACTCTGGCAACTCGTCAAAACCAGAAGTTGGCCACGAGATTTGGGCCATATTGCATCCTCGAACGGATAGGGGCTGTGGTGTTCAGATTGGAGTTTCCCTCTACGACAACTTTACATCCCATATTTTATGTACCACAATTCAGGAGGGCATTTGGGAGCTGTGTTTCTTCCAGATGATACCGTCACAGTTAACAAATGATATGGAGATCCGAGCTGAACCATAATACATTTTAGATATCACGCG